TAGTAGTAGTAGTACTAGTAGTAGTAGTAGTAGTAGTAGTAGTAGTGGTAGTGGTGGTAGTGGTAGTAGTAGTAGTAGTAGTAGTAGTAGCAGTAGTAGTACTACTACTTAGCACTTGCGTTAGTAACGCTAGTATTTTGATAGTCATCGTCGTCGTCGCCGCCAACACCACAGAAACATAGACAGAAGTGGCGTTCTCAAAGTCACAGTCCTAGTCCTCTGCGCAACACTAGCAGCACTATCAGTTACTGTCACTATCAACATCAAGATCAAGTAGTATTCAAGCCCGGGGCCATGCCACCTCAATGACAATGATCTATGTACATGCGGTCTGCACACATTCTATGTATTTATTATGTGATGCATCCGAATATAGACTGGCTAACAGAATGCAGACCGTCTAGAAACAATGAAACGAGGCCAATGGGGCCCAGGTAGCGCCGATGGCCTATGGCATATGGCCTAGGGGCCTAGGGGCCTAGCGGCTGCGGGACGTCATGATGGCACGATGATCCGCTGACCGAGCAGCGCCTCGCAACTGGTGTCCCAGGGCCAGTCGGTTCTCGAATGCGCTACGTGGGTCGAGATAATGAAAACATTTGTAGATCTTGCCCAACTTCTTCACAATCTTGGACATGTCATTATCATCTTTCATCCATTGAGGCATGTTTGCAAGGTCGGCGTCGTCAACCTGGGCGGCCTCCTCCGCTTCTGCACTGGCCTCGTCGTCCACAAAAGCTTCCTTCTTTCTCCGGCCCTTGCTGGATGTCTGCCTCGCTTTTGCCGGCTGCTCAAAGCTTCCGCCCACTGAGCTTGCAGCACCTGCCAGCAAGTCTGGCTGCACCCTCAACTGGGAGGAGATCACGGACTGCTGGTCGTTCTTGGGCAAGTCGTCTTCGATGCAGGGGTCCGGCACGAAGTTCTCCTCTTCCTCGCCCCTCTCTTGGTCTTCGTCCAAGTCCTCCTCCGCCGCATTCTCCGCTGCGTCCCTCTCCTGCAGACAACTTGTCATTCTGGAAGCCCCAGAAGTTGAAAATTCTAGATTCTAGATTCTAGACATTCGACTCTGCATCCCACAAACATTTGGCAATCATGAAGGCCCGATTATGTGCGACGGCCGAGGACTTGGTCGGGCGAGGCACTAAGTACAGTACAGGATTCACATTTCATTACAGAGGCATGGAGGCACGAAATGACATAAACTCTAGTCTGAACGGACATGCCCACATAACCTCGAAATAGCAGTTATTATATTATAATAACAAACACCGAAACCGGTAACTATAATAAGTAGAAACAACAAACAATCACAAACATTCTCACGTCAACTAGCCTATTTTGCTGAAGTGGTTAAGTACAAAGTTATTGAACTTCATCGTCTGGGACAGTCTCCCTCGCTGTTTTACATTCCCCGGTTTTCAAAGACCAGCTGATTACAGCGACGAGGTCAATCAGGAATGCGACTAGTGACTCATGGGGGTTCAAATCGCTTGCTTGGACATTCATTCACGGTGGCAAAAGCTATTGCTGCAGCCCAGCTCTTCCTCACGTACGACGTACGATGGACTTACTCACGGAATCTTTGCAGCTATCATAGCCTCATATATGACTCAGTTTTTGACTAGGAACCTGAGCAGCTATCAAACTGTGACGCCGGCTACGTCAACCGAAGATCCTAAAACCTCTGCCTCAGCAGCCTTTACATTTTAAACTGCAGACACCACATCGCGACACATACCGCGACACAGCCGGTCCATTAAATAAATTGGCAATCGGATTGCCGTTCCATATTCGGTCATCAATGTTCTGTATCCGCTACCCGCTACCCACTACCCTATCCCCCGTGCTACCTCAGCAACCCTGACCTTCACATCTGGCAGCCTAGCGGCCTAGCGGGCCTTAGATACATATACATACATATGTATATATATATATATATACACACATACTTACATACTTACATACATACATACATACATACATACATACATACATACATACATACATACACACATACACACATAGGCCTACACCGAAGCAATGGTTTCGCTTCAAACGGCATGGGGGCTTGGCTTGCACGTGGCATGTTGTCGGTCTCCTCCTGCTGACTGGTCAGCTGCTCGATGAGCGACGGAATCTTCGGGAGTGACGGGCGGTGCTTGGACCTGCTTGCGGTCTCGGAAGAGTTCAGGAGGAGCTCGGAAAAATGATCGAACAGCACCTGCCCTTGGCCAGCTCGGATTTGATGATCTGGGGTGAGTCGTTGGTCCTGGGCCTCGACTTGGACCAAGAACCCACTCCGGACCTTGCGGATCCATCCGAGCAAACCCTCCGGCAGATCCCTGAGGCTGACATACACACCTTGGACGCTCTCGCCTCGGTCCTCCACCTGTTCTTTCCCCCTGTGAGTTTTGAGCTTCAAGCTTGAGCTTGATGCGCCCACCACACTCTGAAGCTCAGAGTCCGTCAGAAATCCGATGTCGTGATACACCATACGGAACCGAATCTTGCCTGTCTGCACGGTGCTGGAAGGGTTAAACCTCCTCTTCAAGATGCCGGAGTCCTTCTTGATTCTCCGCGCCGTCGCATATTCAGTTCGGAAGGGCTTCGATTTCTGTTCCTTCGAGTGCCAAAGTTGCGATGCATTCTCCAATGGAAGACCCGGCCAGCCTTCCTCGATCGTCTCCTTGTCAACACGGCAGCAGGACCCCGAAGGCTCACCAGTCTCGGTGTACTGTCCCCAGACCTCTTTGGCCTTTGTTACCTCCTGTCCGGGCAAACTGTATGAGTTGGGAAGAAAAGCACACCTGTGGTGGGGAGTCTTGGATCCGTCGGGTTCTATGGAGAGGGCTTGATGCAGTCTGCAACAAATCACGGCGTCTAGTCTAGAGTCTAGAGTCCAGAGCCGAGTCTAGAGTTTAGAGTCTCGGAAGTCTACTGAAGCCTGGTGAGGCCACCGGATGTAGCAACCATTTGGCTATACTATGAAAATTTGACGCAAGAAGTGTCCTCCGGCGTGCGCCCACACATCAGGCATGGAGCCCATTTCTTCGCCTTCGCCTTCTTCGAGACTTCACTTGTGCCTTTCTTGCCTCCAGGCACCTGCACGGGTATGACTGCTGGAACCATAGCAGCCGTAGCGAGAAGGCGAGAAGCACGGGCACAAATAAAACTTGAATGAACTGATAACTGATGCTATATTAACTACCAATGCAGAGCGACTATATTATTTCAACAATCCGCACTGTGATTCTCATCGGATTTATTATCAGCAAGTCCAGGAAACGGCATGGACAGCTCGGGCGACCTAGGACACACGGGCTCGCGAAAAGGAAATTCTGCCAATCCCATCATCATACCCGTCATACCCCTCAGCAAGCCAGCAAGCCAGCCTTCTTGTTGCCACTCTTGTTCTTGTTCTTGACAAGCTTGGGCTTGCCTGCTTTTTTCTTGGGCTTGCCACCCGCCGCCTTTGCCGCACACTTGGCTTTCCCCTTGGGACTGGCTTTGGCTTTGCTTTTGGCCAAAGCCTTGCGCTGCCCTGCAAGCTTCTCGACCGCTCTAGCCATGCAGGCAAACACTGGGCTCACACAGTACCCCTAACAGGTACCTTGGAGACCTCGACTCGATCCGTCCTGATGTAATGTCGCAGCACCTCTCAACTATAACTCGAATCTCATGCAGTCTGTCCTCCAGACTCCAGACATGCGGGATCGTTGAGAGCTCCTACCGGTCCTACCCGGTCCTACCCACTGCTACTCTTCGGAAAGCACCTGGTGTTTTTCCCATCTGACTCTGCATCCAATGAGCATTTGGAACAACTCATGACCGTGTCGGTCACGCGGACTGCATCCTTTCACTGGAACGTGCTTGCGGGCCAGCCAACGAAAGCATCACACGTATGCAAAAGGAGTTATAACAGTTATATATTTAAACTAGAAAGTATGTAGAATAGAAACTTGCTCCAGGCTCCAGGCACCGCACCACAACAAACATGGGTCAAGTTGCTCCAGCGGCATATGCGGCAAAAAAACAAGCGACCTTGCAGCAAGCGAGATGTTAAGTCCCAAAGTAAAGTTCCACAATCATACCCGAATAGTTACGTAAAGGCCGATGCACTAGCAGCACTAGCAAATCACTATTGCACATCACGATGTCCGAGCTTGCAACAGCTATGCCGCACTTTGATGCGACACGTCTAAACTCTGTCGCACACTGCCACCATCCACGTCGACGTACGTAAGTGAATCTCCTAGCTTACTTCCCTTGCATCCATGTGTCGCTCCAGCCTCAGCCTACCTACTGATTCATTAGTCACTAGTCACTAGACTCACGAGACACCAGTAAGCACCTGAGCCTTTCAAGCTTTAACACTACATCCCGAAGTGACTTACCTAGCAACTAGCTGCTTTAAATCAACAGCTGCCCAACTAGCAACAACTAAGTCAGGCATGCCCTCAGCAAACACTGGATCTAGGATTCAACGGGCACGGCTACGGCTTCGAATCACCGGCCCCCAAACTAACAAGCAACGACTTAGCCAAGGCAAATATAACTACCGCAACTGGTAGCAGGCACAACTAGCAGCTCATATCACGCGTTCCATTGTGATGTTGACTGGCACTTTGCAACACCGCTGGTGCAAATCTACAGCTAGAGTCTAGTAACCCTACTATAGCTAGTAGCAGCTAGCGTCATAACTGTTAGCTACAGCGCTACAGCTACGGTGGCTACAGTTAGTGGGATTGGGCGGGTTAGTGACCGGTAGTGCGTGCTTTTACAGCAAGCCAAGCAGCTCCACTGTTTGACGTGGCTAAAATCTAAAGATCTAAAGTTCCGACTGGAGAAAGCAACGTGGCAGCAGCAGTCGGCAAACTACGAAATAAAAAATCCATTGGGAAGACAGGACCTACAGTGGCCATCGGCTAGCGGCCAGCATTTTGCATGCCAGCATCAGAGTATCCGACTGTCCCGCCACTATCTAGATAGAGCCTGCTTCAAGCTGCGCTGCCAGATGGGTCAGGAGCAATACAGTCAATACAGCTCAGTAGGTCTATGACCTATGATTCTATAATAGTTCTTGGGTGGTCTAGACTCTAGACTCCAGCCTCCAGACTGGTACAATATAACCGTGTAACACCATGATATAGACACGGGCTCCGGGGCTCTGGGACTAGGGTGACCAGGGTTCTAAAAGCCAAGGGCCTGCAGTATGGAGTACTATAGAAGCTTGTTGGGGACATTTTCCGGTGGGAAGGAACCAGAAGGCAGCTCGCAGCCAACTCACGGAGTTCCGACTGCACTGACACCGTGTGCAGCAGCTAGTTAGCTAGTTCGAATTTGAATCGCATCCACGAATCTACGAATTAGAGCATCTAAGGCTCTAAGGACAAACATCCAGAAGTCCAGAAGTGCACATTGTACGTTACGTCCGGCATACAGCCCCACACACTCCTTCTGTACAAGAGCAACGGCAAGTGAGGTTGTGCAGGGCTTTAGCTTTCAGCCTGGAACCTAGGACCTATAATAAACCAACAGCAACCAGGCCCAACTAGAGCAATTGACTCACTTCACTACAGCGGAATGTGTGGCACTGCCCGGAAGCCAGCTGTGCAATGGCTGCCTACGAACAACTGTCAACAACTGTTGAACAAACTCTGGGCTGAAGTCGGGCGAGGCACATCCGCCCAGCTGGCTCGTTCTCCGAATGCAGCAAGCACAGCCACGAACGAGCCGCAGACCGCATCTCAACATATTACAAGTGATGCGACCCTGCCATGCCATCGCAAAGAACAAACCACGTTGATATAGTGTTAACAGAATTGAAGCCAGGTCCTCCTGACACATGCCTTGCGCGACCATAACAACGGAACCTAAAGACCTAAAGTCTACGGTGTCTCGAGTCTTCAGAATCTACTACGAGTTGGAGCTTGAAATTGGCCACTGCCTATCCTGCTACGGCCCGCGATGGTTTTGCGGACTGTCGAGATCTATGGCCTACAGCCTACGGTGTACTCCCGTTCACCAAGGAAGCCGAGGCAACACATATTCAGTAGACCAGAGCTCCACGCCTGTAGTTAAAACAAGCGTGTGTTGTTGAAGGTGCGCGGTGTGCTCACATCATATCAAACACTGATTACACTCTCAGCCTTGATTCATGTCAAAAGCTTGGCTGCATGGCTTGACAACGGCCTGCTGTCTCCCTGGCTGTCAGAATGCACAGTCCTGGCGGCGTTCCTTGAAGAGCATGCACTAGTCACGTAATCACTCCACCGGCTGCATCAGTACAGTCACAACATGGAGTAATATTGCAAGACAAGATCGGAATGTACTGCTCCCAATGTAAAAATTGCCTTCTAAGACTTTAAGTCAGTGCGCATGGTTGGTGTGTGTGTGTGTGTGCGTGTGTGCTTCTGCAATTCAAATGATGACAAACTGCCACATGTCCCTTTTGCAAAGTCGAGACTTGACTACAAAACCAGAATCACTAGAGTCACTAGAATGCACCTGAGGTCCTCAAAAACAGGAGACAGTTGGCAACCCATGATTTGCTCTAGACTCTACACGGCCATAGTTGACCCTGCTCAACAAGTTGTAATTTGCTTCTGTAGGTTCTAATGCCCTGAACCGATCTACACTACACGCAGATCGCAGATGTGACATCGTCGCCTTTTGTTGTTGAAGGACTAGTGACAAGTGACTCGTGACTACTGAGTATACTACTGCTTCAAAGTACCACCTACAGGCGCCTGTACACAGCCAGATAATTCGCAACCTCATACGGTGTGCCGCTGCTGAAATGCCACTGTGCCCAGAGGGCTAGAGTCTAGAGGGCCCACATGCCTAAAGTGGCCTAAAGTCGAAAGTTCAACCTGTTAACAACCAAAGCCACACTGCTTGTAGTAAATTAATCGAATATTGAATAATATAAGAAAGACGCCGACACAGGACCGGCCCTCCTCGATCGTCCTAGACTCCTAGTCCTAGACTCCGAGACCCTGGCCCTAGCCCTAGCCGTCCGGGAAGGCTTTCACCAGAAAGATGCACCACAAACACATTCCCAGACAGGGGAGAGCCATGCCTTCCCCGGCTAGCTTCCTCAAAGCAGCCTGGCTCATGCCTTCAGGCACGATAATCGAAGTCGGGTGGCCCTGCTGAAACATCATTTCACGAGCCGTCACGATCCTGCGCTTGCCAAGATGCACCTGGAGGCTGGACGTTGTAAGCGTTCGATGCAAGCCGTCCTTATTCGTGAAAGGACGCCTCCCAGGATTTTGCGAGACGTCGACAATGATCCCCTTCACAGCGGCCTTCAAGCTGGAGTGATCCTGCGGTCCATCCTTGCCATGGTGAAGAACGACCATATTCAACAAGGCTCTGATACGATCGTTCATGTTGGGCAGCCCACGGATCCGCAATCGCATGGCATCGAAAGGTTTCACAGCAGTCCCCACGCCCAAGAACTTCCGCCAGGCGCGGACCTGTCCCTTCCAAGCCACTTCTTCGTCGGGATCCTGATTCTCCAGAGACCCGCGACGGCCAGTCCAGAAGTGGCCGCTGCGCTCCTGCCAGGCACAAGAACCCAGACGGAGTCATAAACCAAATCGAAAATTTTTCGTAAATCGGAGGCCACCTGTCCCGCGATTCTAAAACTCGTTCGTAAATTCGGCAAAGCAGCAGATCCCACCAAAAACACCAAGAAATCAAAAAACACACTGTGTTTTTTGATTTTTTTTGATTATTTTTTGAATTTCCAGAGTGCGGTGCATTGGAAGCACTCGGAATTGTGGTTTTCATAAAAAAATCATAATTTTTTCAAAAAAAAATCAAAAAACACAGTGTGTTTTTTGTTTTTTTTACGAATTCCCACAGTCCTGCCCACCAAAACGCTCAAAATGCTGGTTTTCATACCAAATTCATATTTTTTTCAAAAAAAATCAAAAAACACAGTGTGTTTTTTGGTTTTTTTACGAATTCCCACAGTCCTGCCCACCAAAACGCCCAAAATGCTGGTTTTCATACCAAATTCA